GGTTGCAGCCATCATTGTTGTTTGGCGGGCCCGGGCTGGGGATTCGAACCCGCCACCTTAGGTGTATGTGGCTGGCGACTTAGCCGCTTGAGCCACAGGCGCCGAGCCTTTTTATACATCTTAATTCTCTAGCATAATTCCTTATCTTTCCATTTATGTTCTACCATGTCTTTCTTGTCTTTCTCCCTTTTTTTTTTTTTGAGATGAAGCCTCAAGCTATCCCCCTGGGTAGAGTGCCATAGCATTACAGCTCACAGCAACCTACAACTCCTGGGCTCAAGTGAGTCTCCTGCTTCAGCCTCCCAAGTAGTTGGGACCATAGGCGCCCGCCACAATGCCCGGCTATTTTTTGGTTGCAGCCGTCATTGTTGTTTTGGCGGGCCCGAGCTGGATTCGAACCCGCCACCTTAGGTGTATGTGGCTGGCACCTTAGCCACTTGAGCCACAGGCGCCAAGCCTTGTCTTTCTCTTTTATTGATCACATTTATCAGTTACTCTAAAGTCCTTTTCTGCTAACTATACAGTAACTTCAGGTGTGTGGGTCTGTTCTATTGGTTGTTCATCACTTTTTTTGAGACAGAGTCTCATTCTGTAGCCTTGGGAGGAGTGCCATGGTGTCATAGCTCACAGCAACCTCAAACTCTTGGGCTCAAGCAATCTTCCTTCCTCAGCTTCCCAAAAGCTGATACTATAGATGCCCCACTACAATGCCTGGCTAATTTTTTTTTAGTAGAGATGGAGTTTCACTGTTGCTTAGGCTGGTCTCAAACTGTTTAGCTTAGGTAATCCACCCACCTCCTCTTCTCAGAGTGCTATTACAGTGCAATTACAGGTGTGAGCCACTGTGCCTGGCCTATCACTGTTTTTTTATTCAGTTATGTTGTCCTGATTCTTAGCTTAGATGCTAATTCATAACTAAATCCCTAGCAATGTACAGAAAAATTATAGAGTCCACATAAGATTATCTATGTACAACAAGGTTTTGCCCTTCCTTCTAGTGGGCAAAGTGATAATCACCTAAATTCAGTCAGAATCTGAACTGAGGCAGAGCGGTGCTGCTGTTTGGTAAAGCTCAACCTATCTCTCATAGGCCTAGTAGTGAATGTTCAGTACTTTGTATCCTAAATGCATTAGAAAACTAGTAAAGGGTTTGATGCAAAGGGAGGAACAGGACAGAGACCTGTGTTTTGAAAAGTTCATATTAATAACATTGGTGGAGAACAGACTGGAACCCAAATGGGGGTGGCAGAGCAGTTGGGAAATTGTTGTCATAATCTTGGTGTGTGATGATAATATTTTCCCTAAAGGGGAAGTGGTGATAATGGGGCAGTAGAGTTAGCTTCAAGAGATATTTAGAAGGTTCAACTGGTAGAATTTGATATTTGGTTTGATATAGAACTAAGCAAAGAACAGATGTCAGAGATGACTTCTAGGTTTCTGGTTTGTTGTTAGGTAGACATCAGTTACTGAACTTGACTTGATGGTTTGCAATGTAAGAAACCTACCTGCAAAGGAGAATATAGAGAAGGATAATTAAAGGGACAGAGAGTGGGGAGCTGAAGGACAAGAGGAATTTGACCCAACATAAGGAATAGGGAATGGAGGAGTTCAAGTGATGTCTGGCATGAGATGTCAGATAAGGATCATAAAGCTTGAAGTATAAAGTGTGATGTGCTTTTTTGGCATGAAAATAATCTGGTATAAGGGAGGTAGCTATTATCAGTTTAAAACAGGGATCTGTAAACATCCTACATGTAGAATTTGATCCTTTAAACCTTCATGCAACTAGAGGTATTAGTTATACTCTAGAACATGTGTTCTCATTTATGTCCTTCATTTAAGACAAAGTACAAGATGGACAAGTCAGGTTATTATCTTTAAATTCTGGGCTGAAGGGCTTTGTTTCATCTTCTTGGGGAGAGGTAGCTGGTGTTGAATATATGAAACTTAAGGATAGTTTGCTCACATTTCAGAAAACTCAAGTAATACTTCACTGAGACATTAAGCATGGTCAGAAAATCCCATCTTTGTGATTTTGCTTTTTGAAATTTTGGTTGAGGAGAACTTAATTTTTTGCTTAGTCTGCTTAAAAATATATTAAATAAGTATTTGAAAATCTAAAAAATAATCTGATAAACTGATTATCACCTTAAATAATTCCTCTTAATAGTTTTTCATAGAAACAGATACTTTTGAAAATTCCCATCTCTTTGTTTTATCTTCATGTGCCTACTTGAAGTTCTTTATAAGTACTAGTAAAAATGATAAAAGATCCACCCTGAACAAGAGTGAGACTCCAATCTCTACAAAAAATAGGATAACTAAGGCCAGGTGCAATGACTAGTGCTTGTACTCCTAGCACTCTGGAAGGCTGAGATAGGTAGATTGCCTGAGCTCACAGGTTCGAGACCAGCCTGAGCAATAGCGAGACCGCATCTCTAAAAATAGCTGGGCGTTGTAGTGGGCACCTGTAGTCCCAGCTACTCAGGAGGCTGAGGCAAGAGAATTTCTTGAGCCCAAGAGTTTGAGGTTCCTGTGAGCTATGACACCACAGCATACTACCAAGGGTGACAAAGTGAGACTCTGCAAAAAAGAATAGAACTAGATGGGCTTTGTGTTGGTCACCTGTAGTTCTAGCATTTGAGAGGCTGAAGTAAGATGATCTCTCTAGCCCAGAAGTTTGAGATTGCTGTGAGCCATGCTAATACCCAGGGCCACAGAATGAGACTCTGTCTCAAAAAAACAAAAGGAGGCTCGGTGCCT